AAGGGGAAGGAATAACAATAACCCCGAGCACCGGTGCAGGTTGGGGGCTGACCGGCTGGAAAGCGGCTCTGCGGAAATGGAGCTTGGGGTCCTTGTGGATAACAAACTGTCCCTGAGCCAGCAGCGTGCCTTGGGGGCCAAGGGAGCATTAGAGAGAGCATTGCCAGCAGGCCAGGGAGGTGATGCTGCCCTTCTGCTCAGCACATCTAGAGTGCTGTGTCCAGCTCTGTGTCCTCAGGACAAGAGAGACATAAAACTCCAGGAGCGGGTCCAGTGGAGGGCAGCACGGATCATTAAGGGACCAGAGTATCTCTCCTGTGAGGGAAGACTGAGGAAGCCAAGCCTGTTCAGCCTCAAGAGAAGACAGCTGACAGGGGACCTCATTAATGTGTACAAATATCTAAAGGGTGGGTGTCAGAGATGGACCAGGATCTTCTCGGTGGTGCTGAGAATAGGACAAGAGGCAAACACACAGAAACTGGTGCACAGGAAGTTCCACCTGAGCAAGAAGAATTTTTTCACTGTGCAGGTGACTGTGCACTGGAACAGGTTTCCCAGAGAGGTTGTGGAGTCTTCCTCAGTACAGCTATTCCAGAACCATTTGCACACAATCCTGTGCCATGTGCTGTGGGATGACCCTGCTGGAGCAGGAAGGTTGGACCATGTAACCAACAGTGGTCCCTTCCAGCTTGGCCCGTTCTGTGACTTTGTGAATGCAGCTGGTGGTCACTGGTGTCCATGCAGTGTCCATGACTACAGCATGAGAGGGACTCCCAATCACTGCTCTGGTAGGCAAAAATCATCTGTCACTATAGCTGAGAAAAATACCCATAAAACCAAATATGATGCTTTGGAGGGCATCCTACTGCAAAGAACATAGAGTTTAAAAATATAATATGAGGAAAATAGGAGAAAATTGTGGTGTGGTCTGATGATGGTGCTAAAAGTCCCAATATGGTCGGAAGGTCCTGGGTGAGGGAGCCCAGCTCATGCCCTGGGAATGCAGTCCTCCCTGGGCTGATTTTAATAGCATGATGTCATCTCTCCTGAGAATGGGTTAAGTAACTTCTTTGTATCTACAAAGCTGGCAGAACTCCTGGATGATTCAAGTAAAGTGATAAGCAGGACAGGTTTTGGGAAAAGAAGAAAATAAAAGGAAAAGAAAAAGAAAAGTAAAGAAACGTTAAGTTTCTAATGTGTCCTAATGCTCCTGTCCGGAATCAAGGCATCTTTCACTCCTCCTTGCAATTCATCAGAACCCACAAACCCTCCCTCCCCTTCCCCACGAGGCTTCACTTTAAGTGAGGAAAACTGCAAAATTAGAAATCTAAACAAAAGCTAAATAAAATAAAGTTGAACTATTTGCAAAATTACTCAAGTACACCACTTGCGTTTGGTTTGGGGTTTGGGGTTTTTTTTCCCCATCACGTTTGCCCTCACAGCACCGGTTCCACCGCAGAGCAGCGGTGGCACCGGNCGAGAGCGGTTGTGGCCTAGCCCTGCCTAAAACAATTGTAATGCTGTGGACGCTGTAATAAACAGGGAGGGGATCGACTAAATGCCTCCTGCAGCTCCTGAAAGCACCCTTTGATGAACAAGAGCCTGGATCGTTCTATTGGCCTGGCTGGCCATTACCTCTAGTTAGTCAGGGAGCTCTGAGCCCACGCTGAGAAGTTTCTGAGTTTTTTCTCAACATGATAGCTGCTATCAGCAGAGTCTGGGGTTACTGGAAAAACACAGAGGACGCTGAGCTTATCTTCAAGACTCCACGTATTTTCCTTCCCTGCAACACGTCACCAGGAGTAGGACATGGGTCAGACAGATGGCCTTCGACCCAGGCCAAGGCTACTGTAGCTCCTATTGTCCCTGACAGAGCACAGGCCTGTCTAACCACAGTGCCATATATTTAGCTCAGCTTTCAGGTATTCTGGATTTTGGAAGAGATTTCTTTGAGGTGACACCAGGCCCCAGGAAAAGTCCAAAGTATCACATAATCGCAGTATTTCACTATTCCAAGTATTCCCTGTTTATGTCTGGTGTGGATAGTGTTTAATTAAAGGCTATTACAATCAACCATTTATCCTCTTTGTAACGACTGTGATTTGTCTTTCACCTTCCCATTTCTCCACAGCCCAAATGGACCCTGCAGAAGCTGCTGCTGCATTTCCTTGCCCTGTGTGTATCCTGTACCACAGCTGCCTGATCATACAGGGGTGTTAGTATCAACCAGTGAAGAGGGTTTATTTGCAGGAGGAACCCCCTGCCAAGCAGCCCCACAGGTATTGTCACTCCCAGTGTGCCCTCAGTGCCACCAGTGTCACTGTGCAGCATCAGCCGGGTGTGCCAGGCAGGGGCACAGCTCGGGCAGCAGCTGCTCAAACCCAGCTCACGTTCAGCAGCCGCTCTCTGGCTGGGAGCCAGGCCCTGCCACCCACGCGGCACAAGCACCGCCCTGGGGCTCCCACTCCCCCGGAGCAGTGCAGCTGCTGTCCTTTGTTGCCAGGCCCGCAGGGGTGGCTCCACTCCATGCCCGGGGTGCAGCCAGCCACTGCAGCCCCACACAGAGCCCCACACACCCCTCAGGCAGCATTCCCCATGGCCCGCCCAGACCCAGTCACCACAACATACAAATCAGCCAGAAATAACAACCTGGCTGGGGTAGAACTTGGCTTTTATTCTCCAGTACACTTCTCCAGAGACAGCAGAAAAAAGAAACAGCTCAGATTTTGGGACAGCACATCCAGTAAAACAAGAGGGGGGAAATTATTTTATAAAAGTAAAATCAAAATAATAAGAGAAGTTTGGAACATAAAGAGCTAAACACACTGTCAGTACTTGCATAGCACTAGCAGTAATCAGAAATACAGTAGAAGGCTATAAACCTTGCAAAAGCAAAACTGCTCCAACAGCTCTAGTAACAAAGGAGGAGCCTTCTGGAAAAAAAATAAATACAAGGAAGACTTTTTTGGTACTTTTCCTTTTTATATCCACGATGTAATGTCATCTGTTACAACATAATCCCTGCCATTGCCCTTGAAGATCAAGGCCTGTGTCCTCAGGAAGGCTGCAGTAACTGGTCAGAGTCCTGTAACTGGATGCAAGTTTCAGTAACAGTCCATGGCTCTAGCCAGACTTGAACAGAAGAATAGCGACTTGGCCGAGGTAGAAGTAGATGAAGTGCTTGGTCTCATGAGTCACGTAGCTGCCAAA